AGTGGAAAGTGAATTACTGAAAGGAGTTTGTGTGTCTGTTTGTGTTTGACTGTTGGAGGATGAAGAAGATGAAGTTATAGTGATAGTAGGAGTATTTGATATGCTACTAGGGTTATTGAATGTATTATGTGATGGGAATATGTTTACAGAAGATGCTGAAGATGTTGGTATATTATTTAATGTGGCTGTATCACTCTCTGTTTCCTTGTGTTCCAGTTGTTGTTGTTGGCGTTGACGTTGTGCTTTCGAATTAGTAGTCTTCCGTTGATTGGTTCTAGAAGTTTGTGTTTTAAAATTCGTGAAACGATTGCGGTTCCGGGAGAGTATGGCACTGCGCACACTTTCACTTGCAGTTACTGTGGTAGTGGTTGGTTGAGTGGTTGAATAAGAGTAACCATTATTTCCCGAACGGTTTCGTTGTACTTGATACTGTTGTAAGTTATTTCTTACAGTTTCCCAAGTAGCAGCACCGCGATGAGTACTTTTTTTCTCTCCTCTAATATCGTTTATGGTGGCAGTTTCTCTATCTAAATTACGTACACTTAGTTTCTTGTTAGTTTCAGTATCAGAAGCACTTTCGATGGGCGAAATCGTTGTAGTTGAATTAATGGTGTTCTTAGTAGTATTCAGTCTCGAAAGCCTTAAACGACTCGCTGCTACTCTCTTCAAATAGCTTACAGTAGACGTTAGGGGCTTAGCTGTTGTAGTGGTTTTTGTAGGCGTAGAGAGGGAAGGTAAAGGTGTGCGTTTAGTATAAACTAGTGGTTTCGCTTTAGAGCGCTGCAAAGTTGCAAATCGACGATAGCCACGTATACGTTCTTGGGTTGTATTAATTTCTGTTATGGTTTCAACTGACATAGTCACGGGTGCAGTTGTTGGGTTAAATATTATTTCACTATTATTAGAATTTAAAGCAATGCTCACTAGGTCAGTAAGTAAACTATCTGTGGTAAGTTCTGAAGTTGTTAAAGTTTCACTAGTAGGTGTTTGCAGTTCTTCTAAATTGTGTCCAACAGTGTCACCTAGTGTTGTTAACTTAACACCGGCCAACAACAAATTTGCGGCATGTTGATTTACATCGCTTTTCTCTTCATCGATAACTAAATCTTCTGGTTCTATATCTGCTGCTAGATCAACGGTTTTTTCCCTTTCCGTGGCTTGATCAGTATTTTGTTTAATAGCAGAATTAATATTATCGATATCATTGTGTGGTAGTTCAGTGCTTGTATCAAGCACTGTGAATATTGGAGCTTCTAAGTACTTAGAAATTTGTGCTAAACTCTCTTCAGACTGGGATGCATTTGATTCTGAAACACGTTTGTCATTTTCTAAGTTAAATGGAGCACTGTAATCGGTATTGCTTGTATTCTCAGTAGTTGCAATATTCTGCTCCTGTGATGGCGGAGTTGAAGTCGTTACAGTTTCGTTTTCATTAAAAGCATTTTCAAAGGACTGTTCGATGTGTTCGTAAGCCGCTGATACAGCCTCTACATTATTGTCCTCTAAACGAGGTGGCAAGGTTGGTGCTGTGAGAAAACTTTCATCAATTGCAGGTGTTTCTGTAGTTGTTGTTAAAAATGAGAACTGAATGGCTTCATCATCTATAATGTCAAATTTGTGTTCTGATTTAGTATTTGTGTTCTTGTGTGTGTCTAAAGGAAGTTCGTTCGGCTAATGTATATGTGTGAAACAGTTAAGAAATAAAGAAAGAGAGAAGAGATAGATAGATAGATAAGCATAAAAGTGTTTAGAAAGAGTTAAGCTGCATAAAAGTCTTCTGCTCAATTGCTACTTACCGAAAATCGTATAGTACTTGCCGTTTGTTTGGGTTTTCCGTACACGTAAGGGGAATCACGTCCACTACTTTGTGACGAAAAACCACGGCTTAGAAAGCGAAATGATTGCTTCGATTTAGCTGGTGTATGAATTTGATAACCCGAAATCGCTGGATCCAGATCAGTGGCTATTTCATCAAGTAAACCATTAATGTTAGAGGCTAAATCAGTTTGTGTAGCCTCCTCTTTCGAGTGTCTGATAGTTTTCACATAATCTGGTGCCAGTACATCATTGTTTGGTAGCTCAACTAAATCATTTAAAGCTGCATTAACTTTTTCAGCAAAATTCATTTTTTTAAGTTTATGACTACGGCTTGAAACCTCTGCTATAATGTGTGCATTTGTTCTATCAAAATTAACACCAGGATCAGTGGAGAGTTCACCAAGACTATTCACATAAACATCATCTTTGTCAGCGTCTTTATTAGCAATGGTAATACTATCTGATTTTATATTTTCATGTATCTCGGCATTTTCCTTTTCCTGTGTATTTGTATAATCATAGGCAGACTCAACTTGCGCCCTAGTAACTGCGGTTTTTTTTGCTGTATTAGACTGAACTGGAGAGTTTTTATTTGCGGATTTTTGATTTGCTACAGTAGTGTCCTTGCTTATATTTTTTTGTCTATGATTAGGTCTTCTTACAGCACTAGAGGGTTGTTGCAAGGCTTTCGAGATAGTTTTCATTGGATATTCCATCATTTGTCGTACTGTTTCCATCATATCGTATTTACTACCTATGCGATTTATATCGTTTTTACTGAAAAACTGTTCGGAATCCTCACAGTTCACATTACGATACCAGTCACAAACAAAATTCTTTTGACTAAAGAGTGTACCATTCGGACAGAGGAAGCCAAATCCTTGCACACTACGAGCTGTGTGCGTACAAATTCGAAAAGCTTGACATCTACTCTCCATGTCTGCATAATAACCTAAAGTATGAGGATTGAAATTTAGATATTAAAAGATTTTCAAATTTTGGAATTGTAATCATAATCTTCAGACAGACCTTCATGTTTGCCTGTACATTCAAAACTTGTCTTAGGTACTGCACTATAAATTGGATAATCAACCTCCGGCTCACCAGGTATTGTATGCCGTAAGTCAAAGTACTGATTTGTGCTGCCACTGATTTTAATAAATAAAGGTTTGATATTATTTTATTTGTAATTTATTTAGTTTATTTGTTATATTGATAATATTAACAAATTTTTGTTACCTCATAAATTCATTCAGTTTGTCAGCATCTTCAAAATTCCCCTCTGATTTTGATTGTGTAAGTAATGAGATCAGTAGAAGGCAAAAAATACCTTTAAGAAAAATAAATTATTTAAAATTTGTTTATTACAATTTAAATTAATTAAAATAATATATATTATTTATTACAGAATTTAATTAAATTTTTTTTTATTTGTTAAATATTATATAAGTAATAATTAAATACAATTAAAAAATAAAGTAATGCTAAATAATTAATTAGTTATTTAACTAGCTAAGTGAAAAACTTACTAGTTAAAGTAAAAGTAATTAATTAGTTAATTGACATTAATTACATTATTAATTTAAATATTTTTGGTATTATAGAATTATGATATTATATGGTATGGTATTATATTTCTTAAGCCTATATCATTATAAATTGAAACTAATAAGAAAAGATTACCAATATTTTTGTGTTTCCTCATATTTTCTTTAGAAAGTTATCTGAAAAATTAAGAGAAATTTTAAATTAAATATTAAATTAAATTTCATTTAAAGAAAAAAAAAAAAATATATATGTATATGTATATTTAAACATAATATTGTATATAGTTATTTATACATATTCACAAGTTCCGTATTTAAAGGGCTGTTTCCGTATTCCGTATTTATCTGTTTTAAGTCTACAAGTTTATTTGCAATATACGCATACCTATCCGTTCACCATAAGTCCATCACATTTGTGGAGGAAATCTATTAACTAATGGCTTTGCTTCGGATATACGTTTAGCAGAGAACACCACTCCAAAACGCTTGAATTAACTATGCTCATGTACCTAATAGTTTTTAATCTATTGAAGATGCTCACTGAATCCTTTAACAACATATTTATATCATAATAGTGAAGTAGCGAACATATATCAGGAGATTAAAATTCTACTATGTGAAATGATTTGATTAAAAAACCCTACATAAAATATTTTAAAATTTGGATCACAAGAGCACCCAGAAAGTGAAACCTTATATAACATACATTAACAAAATCTGACAAACTACAACTAACACTTTAAAGAGCAAATAGAAGATAAATAATGAAAGCAATGGATTTATAGACATAGTTTAAATAGATTATATTTGTTTTAGATCACAAAGGAAAATGACGGTGTTTTGATTAAAAAATTTGTAGACTACCTATATCATAGGAGCGTGATCTGTTATGAATCCTTCTTTGGTTCAGCATAATACAAATAATCATACATAAGATATATGTATTTATGTATAAGATATGTTATATATATCTTATATATATCTATATATATAGTTATATGTATTATATATATATAAGATAAATATATTTATAGAATATTTTGAGTATATTGTCGAGAAATAACAAAAAACCATATATATATCTTAATAAAAATATGGATTGGAGAGCAGCATTGTGTATTATAAATGCTTTAGAGTTCTTCTATTAGAGATCTTAAATTTTTAGTGTCCTTCACACTACTCACTTATTAGCACTATAGCAGTATTCTCTCGTTATAATACGATTCACTTAAATTTCTAATTACAGCAGCTTTAAGAGCATATATTATGAAGATAGAGCAATAACTATTCTACTTAAATTCAATCCCATTTGATAGAGAACGGTACAGATTAATATTTTTCTGATCAACAAATATTATTGATATATTATTGAATTAATTTTAACTAACTTTAATAAAAAAAAATTATAAAAACCCCAAATAAGTAAAGAACTGTCAAGAACTTTTAAAAATCAATTTTATAATATATAATAATGTTTTTGTTGTAAGTAATAGTGTATTTAAAAGTGATACATGGAACTATTTACATTTCTATAGGAAATATTACTTACATTTGTAGTAAATCATACTATATCTAAAAATGATATATGGAACTATGGAAAGCTTACATTTCTGTAGTTCATATTAAGCTTTTTAAATCTAAGAATTTGAAATTTAAAATGTGTAGTAAGTACGAAGTATGTTCCTAACTTTACTTGGGCACTTGGCATATATAAATAAGACCTTATATTTCTATTAACTTCTTCTCCTAGTGGAGCATAGGGCTTCGGATACATACATAAGATCATTCATGATGAGCTCACATAATGATAATCGTAATTTTGAGCTGCAAAACCAATCAAATTGTAATGAAGAAACGCCGGATATGCTTCAAATCTCTCCTTTTGTCTGACTCATCACAGCTTATTTGATAATCGTCAACAACAAATGGAATAAAATATTCCGAATTTGACATTTATTTAAATTGAATAAAATAGTTTGTCTATTTTTACTATGCAAATTTTGATTATGCAAAATATTGGTAAATTTATGTACTAATTTGATAATCACAATAAACTGTATAGTATATTTATGGTCAAAGCGCATAAAATAAATTATTTTTATATAAATATTTTTGTTATTTGTTAATCAAATTGCTTCAACATTTTGATTGAAACGACGATAAATTGAATTTTGTTATAATAAAATTTTGTTAATTTTAATTTTCAACCATAACCAAATGATTTTCAAACAATCAAATTGTTATTTAACTATTAAATTAGTGATAAATTAATATTTCTGTTTTTCCTTTTTAAATTTAAATAAAAAAAAAATACACAATAAAAATGATTTCAAATCAATTTTAGGTTGATGAACTCTTAACTATCAACTCTCGTGAGGATAATTATTGCAGAAAATGAATTAAGCAAATAAAGTTAATGAACTTAAATGGTTAATTTGCGAAAGAAAATTTGCAGATTCTAAAAGTAACTGAATGATTGAATAATCTAAGTATATTAAACCAGAGGTAATATATTCTCCTTTTCATCCTCTCCTTTATCGCCAGCTTTTGAAGTCTTACAATATTTTTAGTCATTACAAAATATGAATTATGAACGACGATGAGATTAGATTGGAGTGACGACCTTGCATATTAAAACCCATTTAAGCATATATTATAATCCAGTGTATATTATAGAATAAACGACAGTGCTCTGCTGACTGTTTAGAAGCTGTAAGTGCAGTACTATTTAGACATTTAGAGATTTAGATAAATTTAGTTTTAATGTTGTTTAAATTATTGAGATGCTACTTAAAACTTTACAGCAACGGTGAATAGTCCTTCATCACCCTCATTCCAACCCCTCACAACATTCTACATTAGATTAAAGTCCTTATTGAATAAAATAGAATCAAATAGAATGAGCTCTACACACTTGTGATGAAAATCAACTATCAGAGACCCTAACTATATGATATGCATAGTAATGTACAGTAATAATAGAGTCTGTATAATCCTAAATTTGACGAATGATAAAGACTACCATATATTCATAAAACATATATATTAGTAATTAAACCTTTAAAAATAGTTTTGTCTTTATTAAAGCTTTAATACTTTTCACCAACTATTTAATTTATATTCAATTATTTAGTTAATAAATCTAGAACACTTATGTTTAATATTATTTGCATAAAATCGAATATGAGATTATAATTATAAATTCATATTCTGGGGCGCTACGTGTGATAGCCTTTATCTATCATTTGTAGACTTTATCTACTTGAATTCACAAAAGCCTCCCTGAAAACTTTTTTTATTTAATTAGTTTTAATATCTAAACACTAGTTGCTATTGTAGTGGATAGATCAATAACCACAATTTCGATTCGATTAAGGATATATTGGGTTTAAATAGTTCAAATACTTAAATACCAACCAAATGAGCTGCAATAACAAAAGATGTAGTTATGTGAATGAAAGCCTCTCTAGCTTTCGTCGAAGGACGAAAAAGGACCGAAATCGTTTCGTGGTGTCTTCGGCTAATCCTTCACTTTAGTGGGGCCACTTGTGGACGGTGCGCTGCCCCAACTTCCCACAATATATATAAATACTAGTTGCTATTGTAACAGATAGATATATAACCACAATTTCATTTTGATTAAAGTTGTAAAGTTGTTTGTGGGTTGTGTATATAATATCTGACTACACCTTGAATACATTTCAAATTCAATAAGATATCCTCTACAGTATTATGTTTTGCAGAGAGAATAATAAAACAACAGATTATTAGAAATATTTATCTTTTTCTGTTATTGAATTGATAATAAGATTCAAAATTAATTACATACTCGTACACTTTTGAAATTTTGCTCTTTTGTCAAGTTTATAAATAGAAAAATTACACTTAAAAGTATTTGCAAATATCTGACCAAAATTGGTATGCTATCTCAACCGCTATTTAAGTTAATATGCTTGAATATAGTTGCACTTGTAATTAAAAACCACACTTAATTAAAATAATTACAATTAATTAAGGCTCATTGAAATTCATTGATAGAAAATACAAATACTTCAGAGCACTTCAATAAGCAAAAACCGAGCAATAACCGAAAAGCCATGTCTGCAAACTTTTCGAGAAATACTTCATCAAATTCTATAAAGGCAAAACCACTTCAGCGTTGAGTGCAGCATTAAAAATACCGAAATACGCACGGTACAAATTACCAATAATTAAAAATAGGAAAAAAATAGTATTTCAGTTACTGCCTGTTTGATTGCCTTCTCAAAAATATTGCAAAAAATCATTTCATTTTTAATTGTATGTAATTATCAATTTATGTTTCAGCAATTGATTTTATTTAAATCAATCAATCAAAAACTCAAGCAATAGATTTTTTTAAATTTTTTACTGAATTATAAAATATTCATATTCGGAAGCAAAACCGCAAAATTATCATTTACATTAAAATATAAAAAATATGTTTTTGCATTTTATATACATGTATATATATGAATAATTTTAAAAAAATTTTAAACATAGTTGAACCAGAAATCTATAGCAAAGTGACTATAATTGACTTTTCTGAGTTTCATTCATAATTTATAATAGTAAATTATTTGAATCCAAACTCAACCTAAAGATGATGCTTTGGTAAGGTCAATTGTGTCATTACGGACAGCAATTATGTCGCCTCTTAAGTGTTACCATTGTAGCGCAGAGATTGTTTTTTCTTCTTATTGTTTATTGACATTTCATTAATAAAAGAATTGATGAAGTGCAACTAACTGCTCAACTATTAAAT